TTGTAGTCGCTGGGTCACTTCATGGCAGATCTTGCCATCGCCAGCTTTGACCACATCTTCAGGTATCCCCTCCTCTCCTCTAACATTACGACGTTGCCATCAGTGCGGCGTCGCCCCGACCTGCTAATATTCAACTTGTAATCGCAGCGCCTCCATTACGACACTTGCTGTCGTCGCCAGCAGTATCTTCATCGGTCCACCCAGCGTCGCTACCCCGCAATCATTACTCATAAAACGACTATGTCCACTCATTGGTATGTTACCTCTTCTGTCTTACATCATTAGTACCTTGACTGACCTTTGTCTAGTGGTGCTTGCCCTTCCACCTCTATCCCCTTATCTCTCCCACCCTCCTTCATCCAGGTTTCCCCCACCCCCTCCCTCTTTACTGACCCTGCCTTAGACAATGGCAGCCATTTACGAGTACGCGATCGACTGCCCCGGTTTGCCGCATTTTTGTTGCAATGGCAACGCGCTGGTTGTCGATCTCATACATGCGGACCCCTCATGGTTATTGCGACAACTCTTGGTCCACTTCTAAGTATCTTCCCTTCCATCATTGAGCTCCATGACTAACAAGACCAGTACATGTCACCTCAAACCTTCCTCACACCCCTACCGAGTACCCCGAATACCCAACCCAGTTCAACTCTGGCTGACTATATCCAGGATATTGCTGTCGCCTTTGGTCAACCTTAACACCACGAACCGAGACGCCTTCCACAACCGGCTTTTAGCTTTCCCAAGAAGCTCGACAAGGCTTGCGCACGCAAGGTCCAACGAACTCCCGTTGTCTTTCCGATACTTTCCTCTTTTGCTTCTCTCGCCTTCGCCCAAGAGAAGAAGTACCATGTCGGATGCCACCGCTGCACAACATAACAAGGCATCCTCTTCACGTACGTATCCCCCTCCCCCGCCGTTGACTAACCAGTGTTCCAGGGTGGGATGGCAAAAATCTGACTCTGGCTCCCCGTCGCCGCCTCCTGGTAACGCCCTTCTCTTCGGAGAAGGTCGGCTAACTGAGCTCCAGTATAGTCGTGCTTAACCGCATTGAACCTTTTTCCAATCTTTTCGCTTCCCTAAGCATCGTCGACCTATTCTCTCTTCTCTTTACTTCCTCCCCTCCTCCGAGCTCGCCATCCATGCCGCCTTACGCGCTGTCCGGCACATCAGCGAGCAGTATACCTTTCATCAGCGTCTCTCCGACGCTAAGTATCCACCTACCCTTACCGGCGACATGCACTTACTGACATGTATGCAGGCTGTCTCTCACCCATACGCCAGCGTCTCGAGATGCCATGTGGTTGAGACAGACGATCCATACGCCCATCGTGGGCAGCAATCGTATTCGACCCCAAGGCTTCGACAGCCTATCGCACGTACGGCGTCATCAACCTTTGCCTTTTGCTAACGTGTCGCAGTATCGAAAGCGATGTAAGTGCCCACTCCCCTTTGGTTGTTGCTAACGTGTCTCAGTGTGGGAAGTGAATCTGTCTCTGTGCGTCCCCGCCGCGCTTCCTGGAAACATCTCACCTAGTCTGAGGGAGATGGCTGAACAGGGCAGTCCCAGCAGGAAAGGTCATTGCCTGCTGGTGTCTTCGTTTGTTTAGGCGACCGCGCCGCGAGTGGTCAATCCAATTCCTCGCCGAGAACGCCTTCCGCCCCTGAAAGTTCAAGCAGTACTTGGAAGCAAGCAAGATGTGTCACTGGGACACTGAGCAAAAACAAGCTACAATGAAGAGGCGAGCTGGCGCCAGACGGTGTGAGCATCATCTTTCCCCTTCCATCAAATCCCCTTCATTGACTAACGTTTGCCAGATACCAGCACCCCGACAAGCCCTGCCATCCACCCAGGGCATGGGAGGCAAAATCTGACTCCGGGTCCGCGCCGCATCGCACCCGCCTCCCGGGCAATGCCCTCTCCCACGACGAGAGGGTAGCCAAGTGAGCTCCAGTCGCCAGCAAGACCTCAACACCACTTGCTGGTGTCGCCCCGATGCCACCGCTGCAAGCGAACGAGATCGACGCCCGCTAAGAAACCGTCTCGAACGCCAGCCTTATAATACTTCCAAGGTCATTTGCAATCGCAATGCGACGCCGCTATCTTTCCTACTTTTGCAAGCGTTGCAGCGTTCTTCATTAGAAGATGGAAAGTACACGAAGTTCACGCCTTTCGCTTCTGCCAGGACATACTCGCCGGTACAAGCAGCGACCCATTGGCAAGTGAAGTACAAGACCGGTGAGTAGCTTCTTGCATCCTACTTCAAACCCATACTAACTCGTCCACAGGAAGTGTTTTCGGACGTCGCTTGTGGTGGTCTCGATAACATCTGCTCCATCTACAACCTGTCGGCTCGGAAAGGCCCAACACATGTAGACGCAAGCTTTTCTGCTACTCGTCAACAAGCGCATCCTCACGTCGCTTGTTGGCATGACCTGTGTGCTGTGGGATCGGGTCGGTCCATCCGCCGACTCAAAGACTACATCACTCCCACCGCCGATGAGAACGCATACCCGCCTGGCGATGAGGTTTCGTCCGTTGTCAAGGACAGCCCAAACAAGCTGAGCATCGTCAACATCCCCACATACATCGAGGAGGAGCAGATTTGAGAGCTCGTCGAGACCCAACAAGCTGATCTTTCTTCTCTCTTCTCCTTCTTGGATCTCGAGACTGGCTCCAAGGTGCATGAGTTCGCCGACCAGTCATCATCTTGACTGAGACAATCTTCATGACCGTCACGCTTGAGTCAACCTCAAGCTCTGCTTCTTCCGGTTGCTCCATCACTACTGCCTCTACTGCGCTGCTCGAGCCGTCCATCACCTTCGAGGTCCCGCAGAAGGGCGTTCCTGACGTCGCGTCCACGCCTTGGTTTCGCTTCAACCTCCTTACCTCCTTGGCTCCTCCATGCATATACTACGCTCACACATCGCCTCCTTACATGACCGATATGAACCAAGAAACGATCCATAGTGAGGGCAGCGTTGTTCTCATCGTTGTTGACGGATGTGTTCCAGAAGGTCATCACCCTGGTACATGAGTACGTTCAAAGAGAGGACTTTGAGGAGGACGATGCTGGCCCTCAGGCCGGCTTCGAGGAGGAGGATTCGACAGCGACAAGTCGCCTTCCCTAGTGATGGGTCGGTGCCCATGGTAATCCGCCTTCTCCTGCGATGGGGGTTGGCGTTCATGGTAAGTCGTCTTCCCCACCGTGGGGTTGACGCCCGTCTTCGGACGGCCCAGGAGTATTCGGTGATCACGGCGAGGAGAGGTCTAATGCAGCAAGTCCGCTTCTACCTCCTACGCACCATCGAGACATCCCATCTCCCGAATCAGAATCCAGAATCGCGAGGAGTCGAAGAGCAGTACGTTCTGCCCAGGGTCAGTGTCACCGTCGCGAAGCGTGGCAGCCATACCTTGAGATACCTTGCCTCACGATGTCCGGAACATCTGCATCTCTGTTCGGGGGCGATGCGCCATCCACCTCCGAGAACAACGACGTAGCGTCGGCAGTCAAGATGCCCAGCGCCCCAGATCCTCCTCCCAAATGTTGCTTTATCTGTCTTCGAGATCGAGCTCAAATCCGACTGTTGCACTGGATGTCAAGCCCCGTCAACTCTTGGTACGTTACAAATTGGATTGTCCCTTCCATAATGAATCATTATACTAACGATGCGATAGACATTTGCGGCGGTAGGTCGCCTTCCCTGACATAGGGTCGGCGCCCGTCGTGAGCAGAGAAGAACTCACACCTCTTCTTATGTCGCACAAGACAAACGTTTGGATCTTGAAGTTGGCGGCAAATGCAGAGCATCTCTTCAACCACTACAACATCGACCTGTTCATCGAGTACGTGGAATTCGTTGCGCTTGGTCTTCCGCAAACTTCTCCGGCAGACCTCTCGCCCAAATGCCTACAACGTTGCGCCACAACATCAACAGCTTTCACGCCCCATGCTCAACGACGACAAGTTCGAAATGCATCCCGCACGATCACGTACTCCTGTCCTTCACGTCCAAGAACAGAGTCTTGAGGATCGATACGGTACCCACAGACATTCCCGGGAATCACGAGAGTAAACCTGCATACCAAGATGGCGGAGATGAGCCAACGCATAGTTGCTAGCACTTGGTTTCAGCGCTTCCTCTGGCCGCCCTCATCGGCAAGAAGTACTTTGTGCTTCACGCCACCAACGCGATGGCATCGCAACGCATACTTCATCTCCTCCGACGGCTCGTGCCAACGGCAACCACGTCAAGACCTGCTCTGATGTTCGCCGAGATCGGCCACCATCTCAGCGACCACCGCCTTCGCGTATCTTTAACATATCTCATACCCCAAGCTGTAAGTCGCCTTCTCCTATTGATAAGGTTGGCGCTTGTCTTGGGGCGACAGTTCAGAAGCAGCCGATATCTCTTCACCCAACCAGTAGTACGAGCATATCGTCGACAGGCGAACGAAGCCCATACATCGCAGTATCCTGTGACGCCCTGGAATACTTCATGCCCGGATGGCGGTCTCCATCTGAGACTGCTACCTCGCTACTGCTGTATGCTCGTAGCCCGTGCCCAGAGTGCCACGACTTCTCCTCTCCATCGCCGCTGCCTCCAGCTCCTGCGCACGGAGTTTACCATCTTGAATCAGCTGAGAGACTTGCAGCACCCATCGCCTCTTTCGGGGATGAACACCACTCCGGATCTGCTACTCGTCAACAAGCGCACGCCTCTTTCGGAGAGGAATACAACTCCGGATCAGGGCGGCGGCGGTGACGAGGATGCCGCCAAGCGCAAGCTCTCCAACCCGAACATGATCGCTGTCGTTACGGGACGTTAAATTTCGAAACCTCGCCAGAAGCCCGTCTCGGAGCGGTCCGTCCTCGGGATGCGCGGCGACAGGGAGGCCAGGTACCGAAGCCAATCTACTGGACACTACCAGACGGATTCGCTAGCTTCTGTGCTATCTACCTCGCCATTTCGTGCTACTCGTCAACAAGCGCAAAGAGATGTTCAATGATATTAGCCCTCAAGCGGTCTTCGAGGAGGATCTGTACGCTGCTATGGCGCTGTCTGGCACCAAGGCTCAGGTCCTTGAGATGCACAAGGAGTTGGTCTGATTTGAGATGGATATGGATGATACTGGTAACTGGTGTGTAATGGCTTGAGATGATATGGACATGACTGTTACCACTACCCAATCGCCTCTTTCGCGGAGGACGCGATGGAGGCTTCGGCGGCGGACGTGATAGGATGCGTCAGCTCTACTGCCGATTCCGGGTTCGGGCTCTTCGACCGCAGGTCGCTCATTAACATTATCAAGATGCCAGAACACTCCAAGCCGTCTGGAGGCAAAGGAGGAGTCCCCCCCCCTTCAACAAGGCGCGCGAGGCTACACCCGATCTCACCACCTTCACAAACATCCAGAAGCGCGAACGTCGCATGACACAATGGGACATCAAGTCCGCAGGCTACGAGAACATCACCGTCGGATGGCATCGCAACTCACTCCAGTCCCACTGGTCCGCCTATCCCGTTCAGTGGCTCACGCTTGAAGCACCTCCTCCCCGAGTCCCAGCGTCTGCCCATTCCCCGATGACGCCCCATGGGATGACCGCCAACAGCTCTGCCCTGGACAAAGCATAGACCCTGGACTGTATGTGTTCTCGAAGTCGTCTTTGGCTACCCAAGCGACGACTTCGAGAACACATACAGTCCAGGATCTATGCTAGATCAATCTTCGCCACGGCTGCGGTCCGTTTGCACAGCTCTGTCCTGGACAAGAGCATATCACCGTCGCCAAAGAGCTACCGCAGCGACGACTTCGAGAACACATACAGTCCAGGGTCTATGCTAGATCAATCTTCGCTATGGCTGCGATCCCTCCGCTTCATTCACTCTCTCGCTGACCCCCAGCGGATGGAACCAGTTCACTGACCCCAATAACACCACCGTCTTCATCGGTGGTCTCTCCGGTTAAGTCACCGAGGACGAGCTACGCTCCTTGAGTCGGTGGATTGAATGATGGAAAGTGTCGAAGGAAACCCTCCTTGGTGTTGCGGTAGATATAGTAGGTTGCCCCTCCTCCCTTCTCTTACTGGTTCCAGCTGCTAACTCTTCTCAGATTTATACTTGTTTTGATACTATTCGCTACCTTTTGCTTGCGTGACGTGATGCCTCCGGTTTTGATGTCTACCTGGCTGCGTATCTTCGCTTCCGGTAAGTGCTCCCTTCTTCACCCCCCTTCGTACAAGACCATGGCTAACTCTTTCTCATATCCTCTCAGCTTGTGCTGAAGCTGGCTCTGTGCTTCTCAAGGCGGTGCGATGATCCTCCGAGACTACTTCCTCATAGTAGCATCTCCAGTCCGCACCGCCGATATCTGAGTCTCATCTCTTTCCCCAGCCCTTGATCCAATGGCGGCTATGTCTGGCGTCGTCTCCGGCAGCGGCGACAGCAATCTGTGAGTGTCGGTCAAATTGACTAGATGCCCAAAGGTTTGAGGCGGTGGCTAACTTCAACGCATGACCTTCGATATTGCGCTGGCTCTCGTGCGACTATCGCATTGCTGTAAGTACTTCCGACCAAATGCTCGATGGCCGTAGTTTATACTGATGTTCTACATGTACGCCTTCTCGACTGGCGTTGACGATGGTCAGCTTTCTCGAGCCCAATCATTCGCAACGGCGGATGCTATCTTGTGAGTGTCGTTCAGATTGAACAAGTGTCCGAAGATCCAGCTCCTTCACTGACCTCAGCGCCAGGCATTCCAGTCCGCGTTCCGGCAGGCTTCGGTCTTGGTTGCTTCATCGCAGTAAGTACCTTGACCAAATGCTCGGTGGTGAGGCATATTGCTAATCATCGAGATGTACACCTCCTCGCCTGGTACCGCCTTCTCGACTGGCACTTCCTCCTGGTCACATCGCCTGATCATTTCGCATTCTCCACTCACGGCATCTCCGCCCGATCGCCAACCAAATCTGGTAGCCTTCTCGAACGTCGTTGTCCGCAACGGCCAAGCAATCTTGTAAGTGTTGTTTTCATTGACCAGCTGACCCGAAGTATCCAGACTCTACCGGCGTGTTCTCACGTTCTCAATTCTTTCGTTGGTCGATCGCAGTCCCAATGTTGGTTTCAGGGAGTCGCATCAACCTCTAAGGTAGTGAGACCACTTCCTCATAGTGGCCTCTCACTGAGCGGCTCCCAAGAGCAAGTCGCTTTTCGAGTTGCTATTCAGGGCTTTTGTCCTGTATAGACCCACAGCTCGATGGTCGGGCGTGGGTTAAGCATCTTTTCCAATTCATTGAACTGATGCTGTGGGTCGTCCGTACATTTCCCATACTTCACATGAAGTTGAGGACACTTGATCGAATTTGGTAGCTTCTGGTGTCGGCGGCGGCGCCACGCATCCGGTGAGTGTCGTTCGAATCGACCCAATGCCTGAAGACATGGACTTTGCTAATGCAATGCGTGTATACTGGCCTTCTTCGACTCCGCGGCGGACTTCCAGTCTTGACGACTTCTTCGAAGGTAAGTACCTCCTCTTCTTCAAGACAACATCTTCCTAACCGCATGGTGTCGTATGCGCGCAATGTACTCTTCCAGCTTCCTCACTCGTATCTAGCGGCGTGACGGTGAGTACCTCTAATCCCCCAAGTCAGCATCATGCTAACCGGTTGGTGTCGCATAAGTGCGTGTGCTCTCCTCGGATTCGACGGTAAGTACCTCGTTGCTCTCAAGACAGCAGCATACTAACCGCGGGCGGTCTGCCTTCTCCAGGTTATTCATGCGACAAGCTCCTGTCTACTGTTTGCAATACACCCAACGCCATAGTGCTGAGTGTCATCGTCTGCCCTGCTCTTTCCATTCGCGTACAGCTAACATTGTCGCAGATCGGCTTAAGCATCATAAGCAAGCTGCTACATCCGTCCCTTCTCATCTCCTTCTTCCATATCCACCTCCTTCTCTTTTGGCTCCCTGATTGTCGGAATGCGCCATCGTCGGTTGATCGTCAACCTCAACTCCGCGGATTTCGTTCATAGCTGACCAGATAGTGAAAACAGCTTCCGAACCATGCGACGAAATCAAAAGCCGACTATCAAGCATTTCAAGGGTATCGTCTTGGCTTCAGGCGCCGCTTGGATGCTCCATCGTCGTGGTGCGAGGTTGGCGTAGCAGGTAGCGCCCCACCAAAGGTACGCTCAGCACTCCATGTGCAGGCCATGCTAACATCTACTCAAATTTGACCAACCATCTCGGAACTCCTCTTCTCTCCCCTCGGCTCCCTGTCGGCGCTTAGCGCATGCCACACGCCGCCTGCTGCCTTGTTGCTGCGCACAAGCCCGGGTACCCGCTCGACGCAAACAAACGCCCTCACCGCTCGACCTTGGGTATATAACCACCACAATTGGGCTTCTCTTCGCCTTCGGGCATTTGGTCATTTGAAACGATACAGAGAAGATTAGCATGGCCCCTGCACTAAGGATGACACGCTCAATCAAAGAGACGCTAACATTTTTTTGCGAATCTTTTGGCTTCACTTTGGCCTTGCGTAAGGTCAGCCATTCGAACACGCAAGGCGACGGCAGCACGGACTTGCTTTCCGCGCTCTTTTTTGCTGCCAACGCCGGCGCGCTGAGTACGGACAAGCGACATAAGGGTTCGTCGAGCATCCATCCCAGGCTATGGTGTCTTGTTATCGACGTTGGAGAGCTGCTGATATCCAGGTCTGTCAACCCGCGGCTTTTTTTCGCAAGTGCTTTCTGAGCTCATCGTAGGTATCGGTTCGACGTTGATCCTGATGGCCCAAGGTGATACGCGATCTTGGAATATTGCTGTCCAAGCATTACGACGGCTCCACAGAAAAGGACCTACTGCCTCAGGGCGATAGTAGTGTCCCGAAACTTGAGCCGAGAAGAAACCAAAGTGCATGCCCTGTCTTCCAGAACTCGAGGGGTCGGATCTAGAATGGTGTCATCAAGTATACTTGCTGCGCCCGTTACGCAGATTCGGAAGGCAGGTTGCGTATATGCATGGACGTAGAGCTGTTCCGCTCGCCCGCTACATGGAACGGCATGTCGCGTGGGTCTGCAGGTTGCTCTGCTCCGACATTTTTAGGTATATCAATCCATATATTTCTCAACATCGCCCCGCGTTCGAATTCGGAGTGAGTGACACACGCCAGTTATTCGATGACGGTTTGCATATGACGTCGTCATCGCCGAACTTGGTGATGGAGACGTGTCGCAAGAGAAATGGGATGACGATAGTACACATGGGTTTCCAAACTGGAAATAACAATGGAAATGGTGGAACGATCGAAAGGACACTAATGACAGCCAAAGTTGGAAGAGTCGCGAAGAAGAAGAAGAGTTCTGAAGGGAACGCGAGGGGTACGTGTAGCGTGCACTTATGCAAGCGTCAGTCAGGACTCGGATGATGCAAGGTAGAGCAGCATTGTTCTGGGCGAGATCCGGACATGGCGAGGTCAAAGGTGAGAGGCGTGAACCAGACCATGGCCGCGATGGTTGGAACGAAGAGGTTTGACGGGCACAGCTAAACTCTAGGTGGTGCGAAGACCTCAATCGACGCTGATTGGCTGACGACCTTGGCGCCGCAGAACCTCCGGCCCAAGATCCGCATCTGCAAATCGTCACGCAGCGACATCACCACCGTTGACGTCGGCACCACACATCTCCGCCTGTCGCAATGGCGAAGAAAGGTATGCGCTCTCGCTTTACTCCAATATCAAGCCCTCAGAAGCCAACACAACGCCCCCGCCGATCCGCAATGCGCCCTCCCACGACTCATACATCTGCGGACATGAGCTGACGACGAGCCTCACAGCGAAGTCCCGTACCATTATGGTGCGCCTGATATCGATGGCCATGACGGGCTACTATCGGACGATGCAAAGACCACGTGCACATCAACCGCTGAGCATGCTCAAATACGATCCCATTGGTACGACGCCATCGCCCCTTTCTCTCCATCGTCCATGGGCGCGCCGGCCTTACACACGACATCATACTAGACTGGATGCAATTTTGGGGCAAATGAAGAACCCGCGGGTCTTCGCGGGGCAGGCTAGATGCAGGAACATGGCTGACAACGGACAGTGCGGAAACAAGTACTTTTCCTCGAAGCGAAACGCGGCAAGAAGTAGAACGAACTCTTCACCACAGAATGGGCGGGCGCAACGGGAAGATCGGGCGATCACGATGAATATCGGATCTGGGCTGTCATGGAAGTCAGGCTGAACAGAGGGAAGCCGCGCACCACAGATGGAAGCCCCGGCAGCAAGGACTACAATCTGGAGCCATCAACAGGCATGAAGCAAGCCGCATGCTTGCACGCCTATGTACTATACAGTCAGCATGGTTCGGCGTTATATACCGTTCAAAGCAGACATGAACAGCACGTCTGCCACACAACAAACAACTTCTCACTCTCGCTGCCTCTAACTTTTCTTACTCCATCTCCCCGACTACGCGGCGATACTCATCTCTGTTCACAGGTTCTCCCGTATTCCTGACCCGAACGCCGAGATGAGGATGCTCGCCAAGGTCAAGGCTCCGCTCCGCTGCTTGTCTGGCCTCTTGGCCCTACTTAGTGCATCGGAAAAGCCTCAGCACCTGGACGGGTTG